TTTAATAATAGTGGGAAGCGATTAAAATTATAGAGATAGTTATTTTCTAGAACAATTATTGGACCAACATATTAAGTCACAACGCAAGCCGCCGGCCAACGCCCTGCGTAGAGGCCGCAGGCCGCAGTACTCATGCACTGGGACCGCGGATGCCGGACGAAAAGGTGCGCGAACAAAAGAAAAAACATGGAACATAACCTGCACGAGGTTCTCCCGATGCCAGGTGGCACGACGAAGAGGTCCCCGGAAACGGCTTGCCCACGTGCCGCCTCGCGAGGTTTTGTTCGCACTCCCCGCAGTAAATGGCTGTAGGCCTGTAGGCTGTGTTGGGAATAACTGACCGGACCCTGTTTCTGCTGTCGGCAAGGCGTGTGGAAAACAACGCCTCCATAGAATGACAATAGAATGACTGCATTGTAGCTGTGGCCGGTTTGTAGGGTGGCGTGCTGTGTCCTTGACTGGAGACGTTCGTTTTGTGCGGGGCACTTTGCGGAGTGTATACAGATGGGTTCGTTTTTGTTGGTGGTGCGTATGCACTTGTCATCTTCGGCGCACCCTCAAGGATGAGGTATCAACCATGCAAACAAAACCAATGGCGCTCGGGAACAAACCTTCCGTGCACAATGGCACATTCATGCAGCGGTTTACTTGCGATCGCATGACAAAGCTCTGCCACAAGAGCAAGTCAGTAGGTCCGCAACTTAGCATTATTTGGTCCGGTCCGTAGGTTCAGGCCTTGAACCAGCACGGTCGCAAAAACTACAATCGAATTCTCGTTGTGCTGCGCGAACCATTGCAATACACCATGGCCCGCAACTGAGAAACTGCAAGTCGTTCTGCACTTGACATGTGGGCTGATTCACAAGAACGAGTCTGCCACCAGGCCGATCAATCAACGATGTACCGATGGGATGGGAGCTACGATTTCAAGCGTCGCGAAGATTGGAATTACAAGCAGGAGCCCTTGCAAAAGCCGGGGGTGCCCTTGCAATCTGTTGGACATCGCGTTATTTTCTTGATTTCGACCGAGGCATTCCTACAATCTAATGGCTGGGATGCCCCCCCGACATGCTTGCGTTGAAGCTTGCAGCAGCCACAGTAGCTTCCCAGGTTGTGTGGAGACATGCTTGACTGCGCAGGTTAGGGCAAGAAGAGGCCAGGGAAGCGCAAAGACGCAAGAAAAAGCGGCAGCCTCGTGCTGATCTGGAGCTTGCATGTTGCGCACATGGCCTGGCCATGTAGAAGGATTGGTTCCGTCGACGAACAGGCCCCACCCTTGCCCAAGGCCAGTTCACACATTTTCAGCGGCGTGTGTCAGAGCGCAGAAAAACAAGTCGAGCAAGGACGGAGCCATGGTTGAGACCATCGAAAAAACTGCACAACATGTTCACAGGTGCCATCCTCGGCTGAAATGGATCCAGTCCTATTCTTCAGTGCAGAGTGCAAGACGCGCAAGTAGACACGGCGGATATTTTTGTTAGGGGTTGAGGTGCGTGGTCAATGCATAGTGCTTCATGTTGCACTCACCTTGGCAGCTTCAAGTTTGTAATTTGCACGTTTGTTTCTCCGGTACTCATTTGTGGACCATCCACATGGTGTTGCCGCCACTACACACACCAGTTTTTTGAATAAGACTACCGGCGACCACCAATTCACGAATCCGGCTTCAACATCAAGGCCATACCTGAAACCCAAACCGAACCTCAATACAAACAGGTTTTGTAAAGTTTTATCCGCTGAGGCGAGCAAGGCTGCTTTGGAGGGGGTTTTCGAATCATCATGAATAACCATTGGATGGAGCTTTGTGATTCCCTTTTTTGAGCCAGATTCCATGTACGAAGTCGGTGGCCGGCATGTGAGGTCGAACGATCCAGCCGTGTTTGAGCACCTGATTCAGGCAGTGCAGCTGCACTAGACTGGCTGAATGTCAGTCCGTGCATGAGGTGCCATGTCGATGCGTTGTTGTCGGCACTTTGTTGCGGCTAGGAGAAGAACAAAGGCAAGCCTGGATGGAGTTTTTTGCAAGAGGGCGGAGAAGGTCACGGATAAAGGGTTGTGGCTGCAGCTGAACGGGTGATTATGGCGGTTGTATAATACAAGGAAAGTTCCTGGCCATGTGTAGCGATGAAGCGGCTGCGAGGCTTCGAGTACTACAAGTTTTGCCGCCATTGTTGTGAAAGAGAGGCGGCCAGATTAAACATCCAAGCTTCTCTGCATCGCACGAACAGTCCCGAGTGCAAACGGTCCTGCCTGGAAGAGGTGGATCCGCGGCCGTTGGCTCTGCATGCGCTGAAGGTCAAAGAGGACCGCGAGATCAAACAGGCAGGTGACAAGCGTTTACCAAGTCTTTACTCGCAGCCTTAGAAATGACAGGCGAATGCGAAAGCAAACGTGTTCACTGGCTACCAAGGCTGGGCGAAGCAGCTTGTGGATGCTTCGGTGTGAGTGTGTGTGTGTGTGTGTGTGTGTGTTTTTTTGGGCGGGGGCAACAAATCAGTGTCCACTGTTGTGCTTGGTCAAGATCTAAACGCAAACAAACACGATTGGCTACATGCACATGTCACACATCGTTTGCAACAAAGAATTAAATTTGCATAAATGTGTATATATATATATATAAGAGAGGTGTATATGTAAATGTAACGTAAGCAAACATGTATGTACTGGTAATACTGGTGTGCCTGTCCATTTGTCAGTCTGCTTGTCTGCATGTATTTGTTCATGTAATAACAAGAAATTTGGGGTCGGTTTATGCTTTGTTCCCTTAAGTTACATATGTTATGCATGTGCGTATATATCTATCTGTGTATATGTATGTATGTATGCGTGCATGCATGTATGTAAGCCATAGACTGGCTCAATCACATTCAGGCATGAAGGTCACTGGACCGAATGACTCTTGAGTCACGATGGTCGCTCTTCAATGAAGTGCTGAAAGAGGAAGGGTTAGAGCACAAACTTCGTGTGTCTCAATTGGCACATGGCTTGGGGTTGGTTGTGAAGGAACATATTGAGGCCGGGTCTGAGATATGCCGTTGCGCTTCGCTTTTGGTTTACACGCCAAGCCCAATCTGCAAGGCAGTTGAAGACTTGCGGGCAACACTTCCTCACCCTGCAGTGCTGCCACTGCCGTGCTACTGTGCCGCTCTGGCTTGTGTGCCGCCGGCACAGATGCAAAGCACGGTGGCGGTGGACATTTCTTCAACAGTCTCGGACTTTCAAGAACAGCTTTTTGCATTGAGCCGACCGGAAGCAATAGCTCCACAAGCTCCAGGGATGGCAGAAATGTTGTCATCTGAGGGCAGCCACTTCGTAGATGCCACTGCTGTTGCGATTGCACGTGCTTTCGGCATTTCGGAGCTGTTCCTCCAGAACTTCGGCGAGTTAGCTAAGATTTGGCGCTGCAACGCTTTTGAAGTTGGGGAGGACCAATTAGGAATCTTTTTACTACCCGCTTTGTGCAATCACAGCTGTGACCCTGCTGCAGAATACAGAATCGATTCTGCAGATGGACATACTTTCAGAATCACCTTGACAGCCTGTCGGGTCTTGGATCCTGGAGATGACCTCACCATCAGCTACGCTGCCACGGCTTTGCAGGAAGCCGCGAGCCGGACAAGCCGACGAAAAACGCTAGCAGCCGGCTGGTTTTTTTATTGCTGCTGCCCTGCTTGCTGGCCTCTAGCAGACGAGACAACTCGTCGCACACCTCCTTGCATCTGGTGCGGAGAAGAACTGTCAGTTTGGATCAGCGATATCCATGGTGGGCCATACGAAGACACTGGCGAGGCACCAACCTGTGATTCATGCGGCGAAGTCGATTTGGTAGTTTCTGGTTCATATTTTTTTAATTGCTCCACTTGTGAAGTCGACCTGTGTCCGGACTGTGGAGACAAGGCAGAAACTTGTGACGGTACGACGCAGGCCTAAGTAGAACAAACAGATCATATCAGATCATTGTGAACTTCCAACCTGCCCAAACATTAGCGGCTTTGTCACCAGACCTTGACGCTTGTCTGCGTACATGACGTCGTTGGCTTTTGTTGGCTCAGGTCGGTTCTGATCTGGTCGCTTAAAGTTCCGAGACAACACACTGGCAGGGCTTAATTGACGGTCCGAAACTTTGTGGGGTTGCAATGGCGTCTTCATAGAAACAGCATGAATCGGGGAAACTTGGGGTTCCAAAGACACGATCAGCACTCAGCACTCAGTTAACCGTCAAGTTAGCGCGAGAGAATGCGAGAGAGCCTGTGCGAGGCACGGAGATCCCTAAGAAGACCGAGCGCGACGCGAAGTTCAAGATTGGGGAGTTCCGGCACCCAGCAAGTCCACCCACGTCTAGCCTTGTCACTGAAATCCAGAAATCCACTCCAGTCTTGCAGGTTGATGGAAGTTGTGGGAGTCAAGAGCAAGACAGATTACAACGGCCCGACCTTGTATCTGGTCATGCAGCAAAGCGTTGCAGAGCCCTGATGCCTTCAGGCAAGATTGTCCGCGTGTTGCAGTACCATCCAGAGGCCACGGCTTCACCCAAGATCGAACTTAGCACAAGCACCTGCTGTACAGGCGGACAGATATGAAGTCAAGTTCGAAGGCGGCAGATATGATTCAGTCGCGCGAACCTCACCTTTGACAACGGATACGGTTCGGGGCTGGCTTCATGAACGAGTTGCCAGGTCGTCAAGCTGAAAGAAGAGAACCTCATGTATTCTGCTATGCAAGAAAAGGAAGTCCAAGAAACAAAGGCGGCGACGTCCGTTTGCAGCTGGTGAGGCATGATAGGGAGAACGTACTGGCATCGCAGCAGGACATGCCGGAAGGTGAGATCCCCAACGGCACGAAGGTGCAGATGGTAGGAGAGCAGACACTTTTTCAGGGGCAGCTCCTTGCAGCTTACTTTTAAAGCGTAAGCAGTGACCAATCCGAGCGACGTGGAGGTTGAAGTTCGGGGCCTGCAAAGCGACACTGCAAAATGGATGAACGGCCTCAAGGCCGACAAATGCCACAGCTGTACAAGGTGTGAGCCATGAAGACAACTGCTGCAGGCGATAGTCGTCTGCTGGGACAAGGATTCGGAAAGGTATGAGGCTTTCGGCTATTGAGCATCACATGGTCAAGTAAGCATGCGCAACATCGCAGCGCTCATGCCAAATTGATGTGGCAGGTTCGGCTCAGTCTCAACAATGACATCAAGAAGGTTCAGCAGCTCGCGTTGCGTGGAACCAGACTGCGAGTACGAGTGCATCTGCTTAGCGGGCACCAGGTCAAGCCGCCGAACCTTCGACTGGAAGTCCCAGAGGGCTGGCAGGAGCGGTTCGCCTTCTGGGCCCTTGCTGCTGCACCTGACATGGAGATGCTTGGAGCTTCACAGGAGCATTGGGATGATCACTTAGGCCTCGCTTACGTGGTTTCACCTGCTGGGTGATGCTGTGAGTGCAGAGAAGCATGAATGAGCTCGGAGCGCTGCAAGGTCGCCACTACTATGTCAACCAGACCACACAGAAAGTAACATGGAAGCACCCTACCGTTACGAATCAACGCGCGAAGTTCGGACAGGCAGCTGTACCGGCCTGCCAGAACTCAATTGAAACCAGAGAGCCATCATGTCCAGCAGGTCAAGGAGAAGCTAGATCCAGACTTGGACGACGTGGAGATTGACCACGAGCGCAAACATTACGAGGTCCGTTCTTCCACAGGAGATGTGGCAAGTGTGCCGGATTGCTGCCGACTGCACAGCTACGAGGTGGATGAGCAGGAAGAGATGGAAGGGCAGTTTGACCTCCAAGCTTTGGTGAAGAAGGTGGAGGTCCGAACCCTTGATTTTTGAGGCGACCTGGCACGTGGTCCGCCACCTACCTTGAGACTGGCTCCAGGAACAGGAGGAGAGGCGAGAGAAGGCGGAAGAAGCAGGCTCCGCGGATCTATGCCAGTGTTCGCCACAGTGGATGTTTTCGCAGGTTTTTGCTCATGGGGCTTCGGCAGGACAGGATGTTGATAGCGATGATGGGCTTCACGACATGAAGAAGCCCAAGAAAAAGAAGGCTAAGAAGGAGAAGGCAGCCAATTACCAGCACGGCATGAACGCACGGCAACTTTCGGAGCGCGTGTTCGCCCTGCAGGTCACGGCGGAAGGCATCATCGAAAAGGTGCCGGCGACAATACTTAAACATGTTTCATCTTGGCACCCTCTGGCTTCGTAAGCAAGGCATTGCTGCTCATTGAGCACACTTTCGTAGCAAGGGAGTCCATCAAGAAGGCAGTCCGATATGTCAAGCTGTCGAGCCTTGAATGAACCGCAGCCCTGGCACCAGGACTACTCGCGACTTGACGGAAACTTCTGTGCTCGAGACATGGGCCCCCTCATCAAACAGTGGGAGGCAGCTTGCCTGCAGTGCCAAGCACGGATTGCAAGCAACAGTCCGACCAAGTGTGGAGCGAGGCGACTTGTTGTGAAAGCTGAGTGTGCTATGTGTGGGGCATTGTGGGGCTACCCTAGCTACGTGCTTGGTCTACGTGCTCCCGGAAATATACGAGAGCCGACTAGCATCCCAGTTTTGCCTTGTTTGGCGGTTGTTCATGCAAGGGCGGCAATGCTCATAGCACCCGGAGAGCGAAGTGTGGTGAGAGGATCTGACCTATGAGACGTGGCTCCATTTACTTAATAATGAAAGTCTTATTTGTTGGATGAGATCGAACCAGCAGCTGGTAGGGGGGGGGGGGGTCCACCCTGGCGAATTGCGGCTGGATGTTTAGTGCAAGAATTAGTGTCATCTGTTCGTACCCGGCTGACCGCTTTCTCAGCATTTGATGTCCCAGCTTGTCCAGACGAAACTCGCAGCCGATGCCGGCTGCTATGCCGTGGTGCCACCTTGCCATGATTTTGCTCAGGCCTTGGAACACTTCTCCGAAGCCCCCGACTCCCTGTGCCAACCTGAGCCCAGAGCCAGTGTGGAGCAGTGTTGCCCGCTGTCCTCAATCATTGTCAAGGTTTGATCTGTTTGTAGCCGTCCATGAGGTGCAAAGAGACGTTCGAGGTGATGCTTGCGCTGATACAGAGGGGAGCAGAGCTTCTGAAAGAGCCCTGCTCTTACACTGTACTTGTGCTAAAATTTGTGTAGCATCTTATGGTACACTCGGGAGCTTCCCAGCTGCCCAAGATACGATGCACAGCGGCTGATCAGCCCAAGCAGAATCCAGGAGGGCACCTTGAAACAAGCTCAGGTTGTCACAGAATCGGCTACAGCTGACTGAGCTGAACAAGGCACATCTGCGTTGCTGTGTCGTCGCATACTCCAGTCACGTGTATGCTTCCGACTTCCCCTTGATGCAGTTGCACATGCGCATGTCTGCAAATGCATGTTCCGTGCAGATAATGACTCGAGTCACCACGCAACGCGCTCAGCCAGCTGCGCTTGTTGTTTGGGGCCGCTTCGATACACCAAATCGTGGCAATCAGGCACAAGCAGCCAGTGCATGACAGCTTGATGCGTTGCATGCAGGACTCTACCAATTGCATGCTTAAGCATGTTCCTACATGGTTCGAGGCCCCGAAATCGACATTCAGCAGCAGGGAAACCGTGACAAGCGTCACGAGACACATTCGATAACTGTGCCCTCCTTGGTTTCAAAGTCCAGCAGACAGCACGACCTGGCGACGTGAATGCCTTCGCAGCCAGATAGCCTGCGATATGCAGCAGTTTGTTTGCTGCATGTTCGTCGCTTGGGCTCCCTGTGTAGAGGAGATCATACGGAGATTGATGCTGCGTCTTCAGTAGTCAGTAGCCGATCTTCCTCCAGGCTTCTGCTTCTCTTCTCAACGTCTCATTGACTCGCACAGTGGCTGTTCAAGACTCTGGTCGTGTTTGCCCGACCGGGCGGACTATTCATTATTGCTCTGAAGATTCATTCTCACTCTTTCCTGTCACGCTTCCTCATTGAACCTGTCTGACGTGAATGAAGCTCGAAGCGCTGACAAGCCCTGCATGCTCAGGATTGAGAAGAGGGAAGATTTGTTTGAAGACGCCCAGTGGGCGCACTTCCCGGCATAGCGCGCACAGCACTTCCAGCTGATTGGGTTGATGCCCTGTCCTGCAGAAAATCCCGAGGTGCACTCGTTCATGAAAACGCTCTGAGGGAAACCAATGTAGCCGGTGTCCTCACCAGCTTGCAGTTGAAGTAGGGCCTCGTGGTCATGCGAAAAGCGCGCGGACTCGACCGTGCTCCAGGAGGTAAGTCCGAGAAAGCTGGCTGACTGGCAGATTAGCGATGATCTCCCCAGCTATGTACAAAAGCTTTGGCCCTTGTGATTGGGGCACGACCAAAAGGTTCACCCCTGCAAGAAATCCGATTTGCTTCACGGTATGCAAGTCCAAGCTGCACCCTGCAAGAGAAGTCTGTCGTGCCCTCAAGACCCTTCGTCGTGAGAAGGACGACTGCTTGTTGTGCCCCGCACCTCTTCTGCGCCGACCGAATTGTGCATTCAGTAGCGGAGCTTAAAACATGATTCAGCAGCTAAGCAGCATGTCATGTCAAGATGCGGCATACAAAATTCGACAGATGTATCGGGACGTTATCGAGAAGCCGAGGCATGCATTGATGAGAGCTTGTCCACCGGCACAGGTACATCTAATAATGTGTCGTGTCATTCCTGGAGTATGACTTGAAGCCGCTTGCTGCTGCCGCCCCTGCCTTGGACAGATCAGGACTCGAACGTTGCAGAATAGGCCGAAGCAAAGCATGGAACAATGTCGTGCCGTCCCACCAGGTGCGTTCGGGGAGGGCATGGCACTGGCACTTCAAAGGTTCGCGCCCCAGTGAATCATGTACATCTTGCACTCAACGCAGTAGCTAATTTGATTGTTTCGTAAGGCCAGCAATGAGCTTCCTGAACTCTTCCCCTCCCTTAGCATTCCTTAGCAATCATCAGCGGGCCTCGAACAAGGAGAGCACAAAACACCTCACCAGGTCATCAGTGGCACGAGACTTCGGAATAAGAACAACCGCTGGCCCATTGCATAGAGTATGGGGGAATGGTGATAGTTCTTCTTTTGCATGCCGGATTTGGGGGAGAAGATGCAGGCATACGTGGGCGTATTGTGCCTGTGAGCCGTCAGCATCTGCAGTTTCAGCCTCAAGCTGCAGACGCCTCTTTGCTCTGATATCCGTGGCAGACTGGAGGTGGACGTGAAAACCGTCAGACATGCCACGGTCACCCGGAAGGGCACCTGACCTGCGAGCTCTTCTGGCATGCGCCAAGGCCTCCATCGACCAGAGCGATTTCGTAGAAGCATTGAAGCCCCAGATGGAGCAGTGGGAAGCCAACCCGCAATTTGCAACAAAGACTCTCAGCGAGCTTGGCAGGATGAAACGTTTCGAGATAGTGGAGCGTGTTCTTGAATGCATGTCCTTGAGCAGGCTGGAAGCCAATGTGTACCATTACACAGCTGTCATTGCAGCCGGTTCGAAGAGTGACAGCTGGGAGGTCTCCATTCATTTCCTGTCAAGCATGAAGGCGGCCGCCATCATACCCAATGAATACAGCTACAGTTCAGCAATCACAGCATGCGAAAGAGGCAGTCAGTGGCATCGTGCTCTTCAGCTGTGTGCAGAGATGAGGGAGTCCATGTGCCCGAATGAAGTCACACTTGGAGCCAGCATCACTGCATGCGCTCGAGCTGGGCAGTGGACCTTAGCCCTGCAGTTTCTGTTTGAATCGGAGCTCGCCGCTGTTCAACCAAATACTATCTCGATGAGCGCGGCGATCACTTCGTGCGAGAAGGCCAGCCACTGGCGACCGGCTGTTGCTTTGCTGCAGAGCATGATCAACAAAGGCATTCCAACTGATCACATCAGCTACAGTGCCGCCATCAGTGCGTGCGAGAAAACTGGGAATTGGGAGATGGCTTTGTCAATCCTCGGAAATTCCATGGGCTCATCACTTGCCCCAGACAGCGTAAGTTTCAATGCTGGAATGAGTGCGTGTGCTGCAGGTAGCCAGTGGCAAGCCGCATTGACACTGTGGCATGAACTGCCCAGGCATCGAGTACTCCCAGATACAATAGGGTTGAGCGCAGTCATTGTTGCTTGCGATCGGTGTGGGAAGTGGGAAGCTGCACTGGGCTTGCTCAGAGACGGATTACATTCTGCTATGATTCCGGACACGATTCTATACAACTCCGCCATTCATAGCTGCGAAACATCGCTAAAGTGGAACCTTGCCCTTGCACTCTTGTGCGAGATGAGTAGCAAAAAGATTGCTACAAATGAGATGAGCTATCGTTGCGTCATCGGTGCATGTCGGGGTCAGCAGTGGCATTTGGCCGTTGACTTGTTTGCAGAAGCCGTGCAGACGTTTCAACCGTCTGCAATCACGTACAGTACGGTAGTCCTGTCCTGCGTGAAGCAGGACCAGTGGGAAGTTGGCCTGTTACTTCTGCAGCGCATGTTGGCAGATGTGGGGTTTCCTCAAGCACCAAGTGCTTTTGATGGGCTGATCCAGAGTTGCTGCATCAAGGGCAAGCTGGTGGTAGCCGCGAGGCTTTTACAAGACTGGGCTGAGGGCGTTGCGGTCTTGTGCCAAAGTCTGTAGAATCTGGGAAGTTGTGCAAGAACCCGCAGGGGCGCACAATCACCGATGTGACAGTTCAACAGCTGGCCAGGGCTAGCTTGTCGCAGAAAAAAGGCACTGTGTCGCCTGCAGTCGTCTTACTAAGCTGACACATCGAATTTCAGATCAGGTTCTTCAGAAATGGCGCTGCTCCCACGCACCGCCCAACGGCAAGGAAACGACTGCGACGAATATACTCGAGTGAGAAGGCCAGCCTGTCCAGCCGGGTAGCTTTGGAGATCAAGACCGGGAGTCACCTTCTATCTCGCCTGATTATTGGTGCTCAGTAGCTCTGACCTTCCCAGAAATCAGCTTCGAGGAATTGATGGAGGCGCTGGAGCCACCCCCCTCCGTGTGTCGCCATCTCTTGCTGGGCGAGTCTGAGGCCCCGATCTGTTGAAAGCAGACGCTTGTTTCCCTGCATCTGCGCAGTTTGCTGCACTCTTTGGGCCTCGATTCGGCTCGGTGACCGGCAACCTGTCGAATGAGGTCCTGTATTCTAGTGTCAATAAATATCGGTGTGCCGCCGCGGTTCCACGCTCCAGTTTCTTGGATTGTCGTCCGGCAGGCGAATGCAGCTTTAAATAGCGGATCGAATGGAAGCAGCTCCTGAACTTGAGGGAACTCCATGTACGTGTCTGATAGACAGGATGGCGACATGACAGTGGTGGAGCGCCGCGTCAGTCTGAAGGATCCAGTCTCGCGTGAAGCTGATTTGGACAGATGCCTTAAGTCACAGCATGCATCCGGAGAATTGGCAGAATTGGCATGTCAACCCACTGCAGGCTGCAGCTCATGGAGCCGTGGACTCGTGACGGTGTCAACTGTACACATGCCTTCGGACAGTCTTAGGAAAGCCTGTGCTCATCTCCGGGACCTCAGGTGTCCCGTTAGGGGGCCGAACTGTGATCATCTTGAGGCCAGCATTGTAAGCAGACAAGTCTACAGTTCACCCTTCTCACCGACAGTCTGCCCCGGCACGACGAGGCATTTGATCGACGCGCTTACCTGGACTTCAATGAGATGATGGAGCGGGACAAATGGTGCTACAAGCAGATTAGAAAAGTTCAGAACCGTAAGTCAAGTTGCTTCAACCTATCCTAGTTGAGGTGCAAACTGACTCGGAGGTGGCTTTGCCCGTGGTGTGCCTCGGTCCGGCATAGTGTATAAGGATTCGCAGGGCACCTGGCCATGTGGAGAGCTTAGGTCAGGTTCCAGCCAGAGGCAAGGACCTGGTGGAGGCTCCGGAGTTCAAGCGAGTGCGCAGAACTCAGATTCCAGGGTTCCAGGGTTCCGAGGCTTTCCAAAGCGCTTGTGTCATGTCGTGTCAAGTCGAAATTCAGTCGCTGCAGGCTTGATGAGATGCGACAAGCAGGCTCCGACGCGTGCGATCCTAAGTGCATCAAGCACTCGGAAAGAATGTGCGAAGACGGCGAGACTGAGGACTTATGCAATAGTACAACAAGATGGATCGCTCAGAATGCCATTTGTTGCAGCAGACAGGAGGACTGGCACTGGAAGCTTCCTTGTGAGTAGCTCTTGATGCTCCCTGTCCTGTGCTCATGTTAGTCAGGATCCAGACCTCGTCATTCAAGCGCAAGTCGTCCTCCAGCGTCACCGGCTTAATCCTGCAAGCTTCTCCTGAAACGGTGCTAGGGAATCGTGCCGAGGTGGACAACGTCGACACCTCCAGCGACGCGGACTCTCCCAAGTCGCTGAGTGACCCGATTGCAAGTCGACAGAGGCTTCCAACAATTGGAAGCAATGCAACTGCCGCCGCAAGGTGTGACAACATGTGAGGTTCAGGACCTGCGGTCTCCACAGAGGTGGACCGGACCACTTTGCGATCTGGTATGTGCAAGATGTGCACGCCGGCAGATTGCTGCGAAGTGAGGCCCGGCAAGCGAAGGGGCGACGAGCGAAAATCTGCAGAAGACGTGGAGCCGAGTCAGCCGAGCCCGACTCACCCGACTCCCTCCATATCGGAGCCTGTCCGACCCGAGCCGCCCGCGGGGCCATCCTACAAAGAAGGAGGTGAGATGCCGAGGCAGGGCAGTAGAGCAGACGAGACCCATTTGTTGCTGCGTAGTGCTCAGGTGTGAAGCTGTCGAAGACACTTCATCCGGCAAGGCTTGGCGAAGCCCGTGGCACAATAGCACTCACTACAGTAGCACCTGACTAGCACGGACGAACAAGTCTCGAAAAAGATTGTAGAATCCGCCCGCATCAGAAGGTCGAGGAAGTTGGCTCTGTCGAGGATCGTCAAGATGCCGTTCCAGGTCTAGACGATGGAGCCAGGCCTCAACACTTCACGGCATCGAGACGGTATACCTCCGGGGCACTGCATTACATCGCACAGGTCGAAAGCCAACCTCCGATCTCCAGGACAACTCAACAGCAGCAAAGCCATGCCGGCATTGGCATCGGCCAAGGCTGTGCGCTATGGCCGTGCTCGTGAGACATTTGTGTGCTAAGTCGATGTACGTGGTAGGTGTCCTCCAAGAAGAGTCGGAAGGCAGCCCTTGCGGCAGCGAAAGTCCTTGCCCCATGTTTGGTCAATGTAGCGGCACGTCCCTGTCCCTAAGTTGTGCTTCAGGAGGCGTCGTTGATGCGCTTGCCGGCAGCCAAGTTGTGGCAAGAATTCGACACATGCTGACAGCGAGCTAAACTAATGTTTTACTGTTTTCGTGTCTTTACGAACAGAGACTTTTTGGAAGGAGCGGCGCAAGCAAGCAGCAGCCCAGCATTTTGACGTACTGTGGCGAGCTTACTCTCGTTGTGGCCTGGTGCTAGTTGAGGGTCATTCTGCACGGGGCACATGCCCTTGCGGGATAGGTCCAAGGAAGATTTGTACTCGCAGTGCCAACTTGGGAATAGAAATAAGATGATCAGAGCACCACTACTGCACCGCGTGTCGTGCGGCTGGGACATGGGAATGATTAGGTCAACAGCTGGCACGCTGTACGGCCTAGCAGGCTGGACTCATGCAGTACATCCTGGCTGCAATCTTGTCTGACCTCAACGGTTGCTAGCATCCTGTTAGAAGACAGACACATGGTCGCAGCCAGGAAGCCTGGCATAGCCTGGCCATTTCTGAAGTTCCAGGTCTTTTGACGGAGCACCGCTATGATGCAGAGCATGGGGGAATGCATCACCTGCATCTCATAGCAGTGAGGGCACGTCGGAAAATAAAGTCTTGCCCCTACACTTTGACGTTTGTCACTTCTCGTACGTGTTGCACCTGCCGAAAGAGATGCCATGCGACATTCAGCAGTCTCAAACAAGCTGACAGTGTCCACCCCCTTTAGACTTCTCGTCGACTCCTTATCCTGCCTGCAATGGCAAGGCACGGCAGAGGTCTGTGGAGGTTTGCAGTCGTCAGCCAGTGTGCCCTCATTGTAGTTTGGCAGCTTTCCGAAAGCTTCGTCCAACCAGCTTTCAAGAGAAGGTCACTGTCAGCTGCTGGGGCATACCACACAGCGCACACAGCTAGACGTGCAGAGGGTGCGGATAAGAGCGCTGATGCGCCAAATCCTCTTGTGGCAGTGTGGCGCTACATTGGTGGTTGGTATGAAATCCAAGAGTCCGAGGGCAAGCTCTACTTTCAGGAGAACAACCTTCAGGGTGAGCTTGTAGAACAGGACGGCTGGTTAGTTGCGGAGCTCCCCCCTGCGGGCACGATTCGCCTAAAGCTCGGTGACTCGGGGGAGGAGGTTTTGTCGAACTTCAAACCAGCAGATGCCGAGAAATGGGGTGACATGATTACCGCCTTAAAGGAGTGGGAATCTTTGACCAGCCGGGTGGAGTCCCTTTACAGTGACCTGGACAGCTCAGAATTCGAGGGAACGGCCATGGATGGAGAAGTGAAAGTGAAAGTCAACGGTCGGCAAAGGCCCGTCGCCCTGTCCTTCTCCTCCAAAGCCGCCTCAACCTCGAAGGCGCTGGCTGCGTCCATCGCAGAAGCGCACTCCAGCGCCGTTGATCAGTCGATGGACGCTATGACAGCACGGCTTCAGGAACTCTATGCATCACATTTCTCTGCCACCAAAGCATGAGGCAGCCTGAGGCCGCTCGTAGTAGGACCATGGAGCACATGATCGCGGTCTTGAACAGAAAGACAGGCTTCACAGTCAAACATGTCGCTACCTGCTTCATAAAGCAAGTGGTGCAACTATGCCCTTTGTTGCCGCAGATGTGTTTAGCCACGATGGGCGGGCAATGTCTAGCACGCGCACGGCGGATAGCCCCGGAATCATAGGATGGGTTAGCCGCGCCACGGCCTAAGGGCCGAAGAGTTTGCAAACGAAGGGACTCACCGAGCGGCAAACCACTAAGGTCGACGACAAGCTGATTGACAGCTTGCTTTTTGTGCGCACGGACTCAGGGCACCAACGCCAGGCCAACGCACAATATGAGCTGACAAAGCTGGAATCAGGCATCGTTGAGATGTGGAAGCATGTCCTGGTAGGCCGACGTGAAGCAGCTGCAGCCAGGTGGGCCGTCCCTGCTCTGCGCTCTTTCGGAGTCTTCCGGCGAGAGAGGCCGCATTCCTTTGAAAGTCCCGCTCCAATGCAGCCCACTCAAGCCTGTGACGGTGCAGACCTTGGCTGTACGGCTTTACCGTATGACATGTTCTGCCGTCCATCACCAATCTGACTTGGCAATTGACTGACTCTTGTGCACAGCTACAGTTACAGGTCGAGGTCAAGCTGATGCAGCCGATTGCGAAGGTTTGGTATTTCGGAGCAGAGGTGCACGTGAAGGTTTCGAAGCCTTCGTCAAGTGCTGGAGGCCCGCATCGCCCTGCCCAGTGGCGATCGGTGTGGCCCTTCCGACATGAAACCAGCATGTATTGATTGCATGTAGGCCTTAAGCACTTGTGTGTCGGTATGGAAGGTCACACAAATTCATCGCCGAGTTGGAGCCGCTCACTGGAGGCTTCACATCTCTGACCGAGCTATTTGAATGACATGGCCATGGCAGTAGTGCTTTTGCCAGGAAGGTCGCCTCCTGCAGCGATTCACTTCAAGGTGGCGAGTTTGCGTGTTGGCACGGCGCTCATGGATGCAATGACAAGCGTCATCTACTTTTCGACCCGATTCCACCGCGATTTGTTGCGATCTTCCTCGATTCCATGGGGACTGATCCGAACCTACCGGGCGGGGGGGGGGGGTTATNNGGGGGGGGGGGGGGGGTTATGCAGGGTTCAAGATTCAGGCCAACCCTCAACCCTGACCGCCTCCGCACCAGTAGCGCTGCAGCTCCAGCCGTTCGTCAGTCCCCGATCGACCTGATTGATTCCCGATGTTGCTGTTAGGTTTGCCGAGCATGATCAGATTTCTGGCTGCTGGTTTGTCTGGACCGGACTTCGAAAAGCATGCCTGTACATATTCTGTGCAACTGCCCGCAGTGTTTGGCACCACCCCCGCTCTTGCTCTTGCGTAAACGTCCTGTTCGACATGGCTGCGTCTCGGGCCATTTCGTATCCAAAGCAAGCCGTGTCTGCATCTTGTGCTACCCTGGTCCAAGTACTGCTAATTAAGTCATTCCATGACCGAAACATCGCCGAAACCCTGTTAAACTAAGACGAGGGCAAACAGTTTTGGGGAAACTCGCGCCTTTCCGTTTTGCTATCCTGACCGAAGGAGGCTTGGATGTTTCCAGATGTCAGTTCTTTCGAACTGCATGGCTGCAGCGGGGGCCACTCAACTTTGAGCCTCGACCTGCTACCGAAAGGCAATCCAGCATCAAGCACCCGGCTTGCAATAGCTGGTGCTGGTCCCAATATTAGATAATTCTAACGCTACGCAGCCCACCTCGGAAACACAGTGGCGAGGGAAGCGGAGGAAT